TATATATATATATATATATATATATATATATATATATATATATGATAGTTTTATTATAGTGAAGAATTTCTAATTTATTTGACCTTTTTAAGCATTCTTTTGCATTATGTTGTGCAAAGAACTAAATCAAATCAAGTCACAATAATTAGAAATACTTTAAAGTAGTCATATTTTCTACTTCATTCTATTTATAAACTTTTTACTCAAAATTATTTATAATTTATTTCAAGTTATGTAACTCTTGGAGTATTATTTTGTATTATGTTAAAACAAATTAACTCAACAAAGAAGAGGCAACAACCAGCTATTCTACAAAGATGCATTGCCTTTTTTACTTCTTTTCATCCATAAATTTCTTGCTTGTAATATTCAATAAATTTTTTACTCTCATAACTTTGTTAATTATAGAATTTATATTTTTTCAAACAATATTTTTTATGATTAAAAAAGTCTATAAAAAAAAGTCTATAGAGAGAGCTTGTTTGGCAAAGGAGTTGAACATGTCTCTCATTAAATAAGAGAAGGAAGCCCATAGCATCTACCTGTATGATCATCATTTTAAGCTTGCAAGTGGCCAAGTTCATCAATGCATAGCAACATAAATAGTCTCAAAAATTCACCCTCTCTCTTACTTTCTGGCCTATATTTATATTTTTATGAATACTTTCCAACAAATTAAATGGAAAAAACATATTTACTTTCTTTAAAATATGAAAAAAAAATAGTAAAATAAATTGACAAGGAATAGGGATTGGAGAAAGAACAAGGATTCCATATACATCGGATCTGCTGCTCTCTTTCAATGCTTCCTCATATGCCATCTCTCCTTTTCCCAATTATTGTTTTCGAACACATATAACTTGGATAAGATAAGAATCCTTTCCAATCATTTTCCCAATTTATTAGTAGGTGCCAGCAATGAGATCTTGTGAATTTTAAGTCAGTCAAAAAGATTTTTAAGTGTTTGTCTTAAAACATTTTAGGTTCAAGATTATTTATCTTGTGATAATAATTATTTATCTAAAATTCTTCTCATATTTTTTTGTTCCATCCATTAAAAAAACATTAAGGATTTATTTTTATTTTGACTCGTAATAATTAAAACTTTGGAATTTATTTGTTTTATGTGAATGAAAATTTAGATTAAGGAAACTTGTGTTGATAATTCAAATCTTATTTTTGATAAAAAAATGACAAAGATACAATATATAAAGGTAAAAATCATTAATTGTTGTCTTAAGATTTTGAACAGAGGATGATGTCAATTACTTATGTGATTGAACTCATATCTTATTAGTGTTGTATCTTCAGTGAACATCCTTCTTTATAAATCTAATTACTTATTCAAACTTTCAGATCACAATAACTCGCATACTAAATAATTTTAAATTATTGAAAACATGGATTAAGAAGTGAATTTGGCGGAATGCAAGGAAGTGTGTGGTGGTAGAACTTTTGTTGCATGAAAAACAAGTTAAGGTAGTGATGTTTTTCATCATCGACACATTAGTTGGAGAAAGAAAACTCTAATGAGGTGTGATGAAACCAAAACATTTGAAGCTATAGAGAGTGTAATAAGGTTGGGTTGATGATATAAATGCAGTGTGTATGGGGAGAGTTAGTGAAAGAGAATAGAGAATATAAAAAAGATGGAAAGCACTTGAGGAACTAAAAAAAGAAAGAGTGAGTATAGAAAAACAATAGTATTGTGTTGATGTAAACCACAAAAAAAGGTGATATGATAGAGGAAATGAGATTGAGATGGAGGACCCATTTTGAAGTGTATGTATGCAAATGGTACATAGGTAGAGAGATAGAGATGAAAGAGACATGAACCAAAAATAAAGTTAGAGAGATTTTCAAAAGAGGACCCATTTCGTCATAATGGAAGTTGCCTTCATCCTCTCTGGACTTGTTCCTCACCTTTACCTTCCGCTATTGCTTCAAGCTTCAAATCGCAGCATAAATTTGCAAGCAAAGCATGATTTAGACAATGCTGTTAATGTCAACTGCCTGCTTCGAAATGACACTCTTGCTAAACATTCTCCTCACATTTTACCAACAACTCTCCTATCCTTAACATTATTTTCACTGCTTAATTTGTCCCATTACAATAACTAAACATCCTCAAAACCCACTAAAACAAAAAAATCTCTCATGTTTAACAACTAAGCATGTGCTCAATTATGCAGACACCCATCAATCCCTTTCCTTAAAGTGGAACCTCAAATATTATTAGATTATATGGTTTTGTTTATCAAACATAAGTAACTGGTTCGAATAGACCTCTATGACCTATCCATAATTCAACATGCTAGAACTTTCTCTCATCTATTGCTTTTTTTTTAGGTACATTCTTATCCACCGGAATAAACTAAAAACGATAGTTTATTTACTGTTTCTATATCCAATTTAAATAACATGAAGACACATAATTCTGTGTAATTTATGCTTGAATTCAATTTTTTATTTGCTTGTATGTTTGAAGCGAGATGCAAATCATACATTCTTTGACCATACAACCACCAGAAGTACTAATAGAAGAGATTAGAAAGAAACCATCATTATGAAAGTACTGTTATTGTACAGTTTAATTAATTAGAAAGTTGATTAGTTGAGAGAAGAAAGGGAAAAAAGAAAAGAAAAAACACTGCCGTTTCGAAGCGTTGGACACGCCCACGTGGCGGTCATATCAGTGGACCCCAAGGCCACAGCCTCGGTTATGGTTACATCAATAGACCTTATGTCCCACTCTCTCTATCTTAATTATTCCGGTCATATTTTTATTTCCTTGTATTAGTTATTAGTATTATTGAAATAAAATAAATAAATAGAGAAATTAATTTCCCTCCGTTTATATATACCCACCCTATCTCTCTGCACTTCCTTAACACTATTCCAGTGTTTCTCCCACACCGTGTACTCAACTTCCCCGTGACCCTACGTCGTTTTTTCTTTTTGTTTTCCACACACACCGCGTGGCGCGTACTTTCGGATCCACTCCTAGCCCAACAACGTAGCGGTGCCTAATCCTTAGGAATAACGAATAACCTTAACAACCTCAACATGTTGCATTGTCTGAACGGTTCGGGGAATCTAGGAGCCAGTTGTTCGGACATGACAGTGTTGGAAAGACAAAGGGAAGCAACCACGAAGTGGCAACACCACCATCACGACAATCACCCACCTTACTATTCCGCAACGGAGTTTCACGTTAACCTCGTTTTCTCTTCTTCTTCCAGCAATCTTCCTCAGAGCCAGGGCTTGGTCATGGCGCGTGAACGTGATGATTCCGCGCTCTCTCAGGTGTTGGCTCATTCTCTCAAACCCGACCCGGGTCTCTGCCCCGAATTGGACACCGGATTCGGATCCTCTTCCGGTTTTTTACCCAAGGAAAACGATAAGAAGAGGAAGGCGCTGAACTACAAGGTACTAGGGAATGCTGATAGAGGATTATATATGATTCGGTGTGGTGTGGACTATGGTAAGGCAACCGTGACGTTTTTTTTTTTCGATTTTGTTTAGGTTGCTTCGGAGAGTGATAACAAGGACAAGAGAGTCAAAGTAAGTGGTGAGGAAGGAGAATCCCGAGTGACAAACCAAACCAGCAACAGAAACGGCAAATCCAACGCAAATAAGAACAACAGAGAAACATCTGCGGATTCTTCGAAGAATAATTCGAAAGGCTCCGAGGTTCAGAACCAGAAGCGGGAGTACATTCATGTCCGAGCGCGTCGTGGTCAAGCCACTGATAGTCATAGCTTAGCTGAAAGAGTGAGTGAAAAAAAGAAGAAGCAAAACCAACTACCATATTAAACGACGCGTTTTGATTCTATTTGTGCTTGTTTAATGCGAGCGTTTTGTTTTGTTTGATGCAGGTCAGAAGGGAGAAAATTAGTGAGAGAATGAAGTATTTGCAAGATTTGGTTCCGGGTTGCAACAAAATTGCAGGGAAAGCTGGAATGCTTGATGAAATCATTAATTATGTTCAGTCTCTTCAACGACAAGTCGAGGTTAGAGTTTGTCGGTCCCTCTGAAATTAATTAGGCTTTTCACTGTTCATGTTGGAATATGTTGATTTTTTTATGCTTCCAAGTCTAAGGACACTTGAATTAAAGTCCGCGTGACTTATTTTATAATGTTTATCACTGCATGCAGTTCCTATCAATGAAATTAGCGGCTGTAAATCCAAGCATTGACGAACTGTTTGCCAGAGAGGTATGCACATGACTCAACTTTTTTCTCCTTTTAGCTGGATTCAATATGGTAACAGCTATTCTTGACATATGTTTTGATATTCGGAAAATGACAAATAATCACAAATACAGCATATATACTAGGAGACTTTACTTGAAAACCTTGGATTATGTCCAGAATATTGGAATTTAATTAGAACTTGCATAAGAAATTATGTTTATGACATAACTCTCTATGTTTGATTCCCACAGGCGTTTCCTTCATGTGGTCAAGGTTTACCCAACATTGGGATGGTATCAGATATGAGTATGTGTAACAATCCCTCGTATGTTCAGTTGAATTCGACACAGCAACTTGTATCATGTTGTGGTGGATTAATAAATAACGTGGGGATGAGCCCTTCTAATATGGGACTTCGAAGGAACATCAGTACTACACATGTACCTTTGCCCGAAGCGTTTATTGACTCGTCCTGTTTCACTGTAGGTTTCCCTTATGTAGTGTTGTTCTTGTTCTGTAATGATTACTCTTGTAGTGTCTAATAACTACGTGCACTGCAGCAAATTCTACCCTCTTCCAATTGGGATGGTGATTTTCAAAGCCTTTACAACGTTGCTTTTGATCAAGGGAGAGCGGGAGCAGCATCTTTTCCTTCTCAGCCATTTACAGGTAGCTACAAATTTATGACTTGTCAAATCACTGTTTTTTTTCTAAGCCTGATATCCTTAAAGTAGAAAGTAGAAGCACAGCAGAGTGGATTTTAATGGGTGATCGAGACACGAGAGTCCCACAGACATTGATAAGTCCTTTTTTTTTATCAAAATGAAGAAATTTTTTAAAAGGGTATTTTAATCATTCAGCCATCAAGCCAGTTGTCTCTTTTATTTGTTTCTTACATCACTTTCCCACAACATTCACACCTACAGAGTGGTGGCAAAGTTCTTTGCAGCCTGCTCAATAACATTTCATAGATCAATGCTAATTGCTATATATAACAAGTTGTTTTGATACTTTTCGAGATTGTTCTTAGTTGTTTGGACCATCTTCGGATTGCTAGTTTCGACTACACCTGCAGATACATAAAACCATCTTTAAAACAATTCATC